TAGAGCGCCTTTCACGTCGGGAGGACGTCCCAAGGCGCTGTACAGTTGGGTCAGGACCCAAGCAGGGGGGAAATGGTCAGGGGGAGGGAAGGGAGGGAGCGAGGAGGGGGTAGAGAGTCGAGAGGGGAGCTGAAGGCACGGTCAAAGAGAAAGGTCTTGAGACCGGCCTTGAAGCAGGAAAGGGAGGAGGCGGCGAAGGCACTGGGGGATGGAGTTCCAGAGCCTTGGGGCTGAGAGGCTGAAGGCCGGCCACCGATGGTAGGGCAGTTGGGGCGGGGGATGTGGAGCAGACCGGAGCCAGAGGAACGGAGGGTACGGGCAGGTAGGTAGGGGGATAGTAGGTCGGAGAGGTAGGAGGGAGCAAGGCCGTGAATGGCCTTGTAGGTGAGGATGAGGATCTTGAATTCGATCCTCTGGGGGATGGGGAGCCAGTGGAGGCGAGCGAGGGTGGGAGTGATGTGGTCCCGAAGCCTGGTGCGGGACAGTACACGAGCTGCAGAGTTCTGAATGACCTGCAGCTTGTGGAGGGAGGTGCCGGGAAGGCCGGCGAGGAGAGAGTTCCCATAGTCCAGCCTTGAGGTGATAAAGGCGTGGACCAGAGTTTCAGCAGCGTGAGGGGTGAGGTAGTGCCGTAGTCTGGCGATATTCCGGAGGTGATGGAAGGTGGTGCCAGTTGTGGTGCGGATATGAGGGAGAAAGGACAGCTCAGGGTCGAGCAGAACGCTGAGGTTCCTGATTGGCTTTGAGAGGTGGAGAGTGCAGCCTTGGATGCTGATGCTGTCAGCGCCTGAGGTGCGGAGGCGCTGACGTGAGCCAACCAGGAGGGCCTCAGTTTTACGCACGTTGAGCTGAAGAAAGTTGTCTCTCGTCCAGGACTCGATGTCGGACAGGCAGCTGTCAGGACATCGGTGGTCGTGGAGGTGAGGGTAGAGGAGGAAAGGTAGAGTTGGATGTCATCCGCATACATGTGGAAGTTAACCTCATGTCTGCGGATGATGTCACCAAGGGGGAGCATATAGAGGGTGAAGAGGAGGGGACCGAGGACAGAGCCCTGAGGGACACCGCACAAGACAGTGTGGGGGCCGGAGGAAAAGCCATTTGTGGAAACAAAGTGAAGACGGTGGGAGAGGTACGACCTGAACCACTCAAGGACAGGGCCTTGAAGGTTGAGGTGGGAGGACAAGCGGTGGAGGAGGATAGCATGGTCGACCGTATCGAATGCTGCCGATAGGTCGAGGAGGACGAGGAGGCAGAGGGAGCACTGGTCACAGATAGTCAGGATGTCATTGGTGACCTTGACCAGGGCGGTTTCTGTGCTATGGGCAGCACGGAAACCCGACTGAAGGGGTTCGAATAATGAATGGGTGGAGAGGAAAGTGCGCAGCTGGGAGGCGACAACTCGTTCCAGGACCTTGGACAGGAAGGGGAGGTTGGAGATGGGCCGGTAGCTTGATAGCTGCGACGCATCAAGGGAGGGATTTTTCAAGGTGGGAGTGATGGTGGCAGTTTTTAAGGGAATGGGAACAGAGCCAGAGGAGAGGGACAGGTTGACGATGTCTGTGATATGTGGGGCAAGGAGGTGGAGCTGGGAAATAAGGAGTGGAGTGGGGATGGGGTCAAGGGAGCAGGTGATCAGGTTTGAAAGTTTTGAATATGCCCATGGGATCAATTTGCACTAATAAACTGCATAACTGCATGGAGTCCCAAAGCTCGGTTAGAGCACTCGCCTCGCAAGCGAGATACCTGGGATCAATTCCCAGCAGGGTGTAACCTTGGGCAAGTTTCCTTACTCCACACGCCTGATAATAATCCCTCAGGAGAAAAAAATAATAATAATTTGGTCACTTCAATCCACGACGGTTTGTGGGACACTGCTGTGCACAGTTGGCTGCCGTGTCTTGCCCACAAATATCCAGTCAATTCACTTTACAGTATATTCTGTTCAGAGTTTTGAGACGTCTAGCAGTTGTGAAAAGGGCTATATCAAATGCAAGGATTATTATTTTATTATTATAACACACAAAATTAAAATACGGCACCAATATGGATAGGTAAAGCATGAGATAATGAATGATACTATGCTAGATAACTCAAGTCAGTGGAATACTTTGAGAGTTTAATAGAAATTCAGCTACATGTCAAAAACACTTGCAGGAATACTTACAGGTCTTTCAGGAATGTGTGCTGACTCTGAACAGTTGTAACATTGTCCTCTGGGTCGAGTAGCTAAGTGCCTGAAGCTGGTTGTATTGTGCTTGTGCTTAGCAAGGACATCAGTCCTATTCAGAGGGAGGGGATGGTATAACAGGGTTCCTCTGTATGAATAAAAAAATCAACCCGAGGAAAGTTTACATTTGGCAAAGGTGTCCTCCACGTTAATTTGGCGATGCGTCATTAAGATATCATTCTAAGGATATAAGGATTATCATGGAAACGTTAGGATAAAGCTGCTATGGGTTCTTCTGGAATATCTTTTAACTATGTGGAATTGCATTAAAAACTAAAATTGAACTGAGTTGTTAAGCACTTTGATGACTAACCTCCCGGCATGGGGAGGGGGGAAAGATGAGCAATCTCCTTGGAGCTGAGGTGATTGGACTGATAGTGGTGTCGGTAGATTGTGTCAGCGTGTTTTAGATGGAATTCAGTTGCTGATTGACAAATCAATAATTGTTTGTGGTGTATGAGAGGTAGAGCAGCATTATTTCTTCAATAACAATATAATCCTTACATTTGATATAGTGCCTTATGACGTTGTTGAGGCATCTCAAAGCACTTCACACCATATCCTGTGAAGTGGATTGATTGTATTTTGTGAACGAAACACAATAGCCAGTTGTGCACAGCAATGTCCCACAAACTTCCATTAGAGTAAGTGACCTATTTTTATTTGTGGGATTGTGGGCCACGACACCTGAAGAAAATCCTTTCTCTTTTCAAATAGTGCCATGTGATCTTTAAAGTCCACCTGAACCGCCAGACGGGACCTCGGTTTAAGGTCTCACCCGAAGGACGGCATCTCCGACAATCCAGCACCCACCAACCCCCCAGCACTGCATTAGAGTGTCAGTTCAGACTGTGTGATTCCAAGTCCTGAAGTGGGGCTTGAACCCACAACCTTCTCAGTCAGAAGCGAGAGCGCTATCACTGACCAGGTTGACACACTCTTTTGTCTTTGAGGCCAGCAACGATCTTTTGCAGTCCTGTGCATCCTTGTGCTCTTGTGCAAGACTGAAAAACAATCCTGTAGCATACCAGTTGGAATATAAATCGTGCTGGCTTGAATTTGTATTCACATCAGATATTTCTTCCGTCCTTTTCATGTTCAAATCTTCTGATGGACGGCTCAGCATCACGTTTCATTGAATCCTTCATCATTTTCTGCAGTTTATGTGTGATGAATACTGTAGTTCCCTTTTCTAGATAACGATCGCACTCTTTTTTGCCCCTGAAAAAAAAAAGACTATAAAACAACACACAGTTTTGCAGCATGTGTATCCTAGTGATAATGAAATCTCAAGGAGACAAGCTGCTATTATTTCTCTAGAGTTCCAAAGCAATGTTATTCTCCAAGAAAATGGAAGCAATTTAAATTCCAGCAGCATAATTCCTTTTCATTTATTTCTTCCTAATTTGAAGTAAGTTATAGATTCAACTGTACAGGATAGTGGTCACTTTTTGTGTTTCACTGCATTCAAAAATGCAGTGAAACACCTTTACCATCTGTCTCACTGTCTTTCCATAAGGAATACTGTGTTTGTCAAATATGCATGTATGTCTTAAAACTATCACAGACTAAGACTGCATCAGGCCATATATGTTAGAGAAAAAACATGTAGGCTGCAGCATGTTGTGATGGTTTTGTTTTGTAAAACACTTCAGGGTATTCAGCATAAAAAGCTTCAACAATTTCTAACTGAACCTCAAATATATTATGTTCTTGAACCGCATTTCGGTCTGCATTATTCTCTATAATATATATAAATGTTGTTTTGTAAAGAAGATGTTATGCCACTTTTCTAGTCACCACCAGTTTTCTCCCTCCAAATCTCCTGAGGGCATTTGATTCCCTTTTGTGTCAAATAGAATATGGTGGAGTGGGTGCTGGTCACTCAATCTCTGATTTTGATATCACCTCAGGCAATGCATTTCACCCCTGGCACTGTACCTATGGTATTTAACCATATTCCTTAAGTAAGAAACAGAACATGCTTAGAATTCCGTATATTTTACTCCATAGTTTTAAATAATAAAATTATACAAACATGTATTTGTTTAAAATAATGATGATAATAATAATAATCCTTACATTTGGTATAGTGCCTTTCATGTCGGGAGGATGTCTCAAAGCACTTCACAGTATTACTGTAAAGTGGAGTGAGGAGTGACTTGTATTTGTAGGTGAACATCACTGTAGCATGCAACCCAAACCTAATTCAAGATCATAATTGTGGTAAAAACAAATACAGTTCCAGTTTTAAAATTACTTATTTCTTTCTGGAGCTTAAGCTTGTATCAAGGAACAGGTATTGTTTTAACAGGTTCTAAACTTCGGACTTCTTGAAAGTTTAATTTTAAGGGGAGACTCATTCACAAGAGAGGCAGTGCATCCAATGTTAGTGAAGTTTTCACTGCAAGTCAAAAAATTCTTTTTCACTGGACACATTTTGGGTTTGTGTGACTTCCCAGCAAACACAGTTCCTTTCACCTTGTGTTTTATTCCTGCCCGTGGGGCTTGGGCTGTTAAAGCAATCATTCTGACAACTGACTGTTCCATCTTTCGGACATGCTTGCTGAAAGAGTTTGCACATGGCAAAAATAAAACTCTTCTAGTTATTGAACACTTACAGTGACATTGGGCAGTAAATCCTTTCTTATATCCATCTAACTGTAATAAATAGCTCCCTCTGGGTCCTATCTATGTTGTCATTCAATTAGCATAAGCATTTGTCACTGACCATTGACTTTGTTTTAATGCACGGATCTCTTGTTCCTTTCAGAGAGCTGCTGCTGTCACTGGCACTGGGCCAGGTGCTCTCACTGCTCATCTGCGGCATAGGCCTGACTAGCAAGTACTTGTCAGAAGACCATGCCAACACTCCAGTCTTTCAGAGCTTCCTCAACTACATCCTTCTGTTCCTGGTCTACACGACCACCCTGGCTGTACGGCAAGGTAGGCTGCACTTATTTCACAGGAGCGTGTGATTTCATTGTAAGAACAACAACAACAAGATTTCATTTATAGAGCGCCTTTCACGTCGGGAGGACATCCCAAGGTGCGGGACAGTTGGGTCAGGACCCGAGCAGGGGCAAAATGGTCAGGGTGAGGGGAGGGAAGGGAGGGAACGAGGAGAGGGTAGAGAGTCGAGAGGGGAGCTGGAGGCACAGTCAAAGAGAAAGGTCTTGAGACCGGCCTTGAAGGAGGAAAGGGAGGAAGCAAGGCGAAGGCACTGGGGGATGGAGTTAGGGCGGATGGGGCGAGGGATGTTGAGCAGACCGGAGCCAGAGGAACGGAGGGTACGGGCAGGTAAGTAGGGGGATAGTAGGTCGGAGAGGTAGGAGGGAGCAAGGCCGTGAATGGCCTTGTAGGTGAGGATGAGGATCTTGAATTCAAGAACTGTGTGTGGCTGAGCAGTAGCAGCAAGGAGAGAAAATGGTGGGTGGGGTTAAGGGGGGAGGATTGGGGAGTATGCCTTTATAATATGAGGATATGCTCTCTATATATCCCCCAAAATCAAGTGTTTTTGGGTTGCTAGTCCCTGAATGAGAGTTGATGTGAAATTTCATTGCAATTTTCCTAAGAATAAACATATTGAGATGCTGTAGTTTCTTCTTCCACACCTGCACCAACCCCCCCATAAANTTTTTTTCTCCTTTTCCTGGAATTTATAGCTCAGTTAGAGTATAACAAATGTCACCTCAATGACCTGTCACCTCAAGCTCAATGAGAAGTTGTTCAGTTCCCTATGGGTGAATTGGAGAATATTTTTTAGTTAGCCAAACCAAACTGAGACATCCATACATGCCACTTACACATGGAAATACTCGTGTGTTATTAGAATGAGCACTCTCTCCAAAGAGGACCCAATCTCTTTACTTAATACCGGAGAGAATTAGGTGAGAGTTGGCAACAGATAAGGCTCCGGGACCCGAGAATGTGGTTTCATGGAAACAACAGGAGCTTTGAGGAAAATAACAAATATACCTTACCTCTGAGCACCCAGCCGGCAGCAGGCAGGCAGGCCAGAAATAAGCTGCAGAGACAGAATGTCAATTCAGGTTGTGTTTCACATACACTGGAATTTCAGATCATGGAATTCACAGATCATACCCTCAACTTCAGCCACGAGAGCACAACCAGTCAAAATTAAAGTCTGTGCTAACTGGAAAACAATATATTCTGAATCAAGGCATGCAGTTCCAAAGTGTGGTATCATTTGGAAAATGGTGTTGAAATCCATTAACTGGGCTATTAAACAGAACCAGTGCAGTGATATAACTCCACAATGGCATCACATCACATACCAGACTTATTATCTTAACTATAACATTAATAAAAATTAAGTTCTAGGCACAGAAACATCGTAAAGTTGTATTGTGGCAGGTCTAGGGTCTAGCTTGCCTTTGTGGACAAAATTGACTATTGACTATTGAAATAGTAACATTACAGCTATTTTGCCCACAACTATACAGTCAATTCACTTTACAGTCTATTCTGTGAAGCGCTTTGAGACGTCGAGAAGACGTGAAAAGCGCTATATCAAATGCAAATATTATTATTTATTATTATCATTTCACAAGATCACAAGATTAATTCAAATGAAGAAGGTTGTTTGCCCATCTGATCTCGTCCCTTCAGAATACCCACCCAATCATCCTCTCATTACAGCATCAAGCTCTTTTTAAATGTCTAATGTCCTGATCTCAACCACCCTTCCTGGTAACATGTTCCACTCATTAATAACCCTCTGGGTAAAGAAAAAACATTCTGACATCTGAAATTGCTCTTTGGAATGCTAAACCTATACTCCCTTGTTCCATTGTCTTGGTGCATCCTAAAGTATTGTTCTGAGTTTATCATTTCAATACACACTTTTGAAGTCCACTCTGCGACATCTTCTCTGTCTTTTAATTAAATAAAGACACCCCTTTAATCTCTTCACATTCATCAAAAAATTAGGAAAGTTAAACAAACCTGTGATTAGGCATGTGCAAGAACTTACATTGTTTGGGAATGAAGGGATATTCCTGGCAGGTTAACCGCACACCTGCTCAATATAGGCAAGTCTTACATGTTGAAAGGCTATCTAACCTACCTAGCAGGGATTTGTATTTAATCCACTTCTATTAGTGTTCCAATATAATGGAAAAAAAACAATAAAGAAAAAACTCTGCAGTGCTAGGTTTTATTGAAGCCAACTAGTGAAGGTGACCACCTGGAGTAATTGCTACAGTAATCTATTCAGTAACAACAACAACAAGATTACATTTGTATAGCACCTTTCACGTCAGGAGGACATCCCAAGGCGCTGGACAGTGTACAGCATTTCAGACTCTATTATTATATTATAAAATCTGTATTATTACAGATCAAAGCTATACACCTTCCAATGGTCTGGGAATACCACTGTGTTATTTCCATTGATTGGGACTCAGTTACTAGAGGACATAGTTACAATATAAACACAAGAACAGCAAAAGGAGAATTTAGGAGAAATGTTTTCATCCAGAGAATTGTTGGGATGTGGAATGCCCTACTGAGTAGGGTGGTGGAGGCAGTCCATTATAGCTTTCAAAGAAGGAAGCAGACAGAAAGAGGGGTTTCAAGTGGTGTGGGGATTAAGTAGGGCAGTGGAATTAAATTGATCTCCTTGCAGTCTGTACTTGATGGTCTGATTTCTACGTGTCTATTTCTCCGCCTTTCTTTGCTTCTTTATCTTCCTTCCTTTTCGGTCTCTTGAACTCCTGCGTAATTCACATTTAAGGAATTTGTTTAATGCCAACTGGACATTGGACCTTATAATATGGAGTTAGCCAGGCAGTAAACTGAGTTTTAGAAAGGAGGGCATCGATAAAAATAAATGTGTATTTCTAACATCTCAAAGGAATAACACCGGTTTCACACGGCAAAATGACTTGAAGTAAAACTGTTATTCTGATTTGTTAACCAGCTTGTCTGAACAGATCAGTTTCAATGGAATCTAATTAATACTGTTCCTCTGATTTGTGTGGATCTCAATTCCTCTATAACTAATATACTTTAATCAGCTGCCTGCACTAATGCTAACTGGAACCATCTACAATTCTATTATTCTGTTTTTTCCCATCTGCTTTAATGTTATTTTTCCTGAAGTATTTTTCCAATTAAGTTTCCGACAAATATACATTGACTACATTTTTTATAGATGATAAAGTCTGTTTCCTCCGCAGACACTGACCTACACGATCTCCCTGCCCTCCCTTCTCCACTATCAGCAGTCAGGCCTTCAGTCTTTCTCCCCTCACCCTTTGGAACTTCATCCCAGAGCCCCTCCATCTCGCCCCATTCCTTGCCTTCTTCAAGGCCCATCTCAAGATCTTCCATTTTGATCAGTCATCTTCCTTCCTCCATCCCTCTTGTTTTCTTGCTGTCCACCCCTTTCTGATCCCAACCTGCACCTCCGGTGCAAACCCCTCATTGTCCTGCACCTTGGAACATTCTCCCGATTTAAAAGGCGCTATATAAATGCACTTTGTTGTTGTTGTAGGTCGTATGAAGTGGTTTGAAATGTTTCAAGGATGGTATAAGGTGTTCTACCAAATACAAAGAGTATTATTATTAACTCTTAAATGCTACAGAGGTTCTGCTTCAGCAGTCTTTTATGATATCATTCTTTGCAGTAGAACTGTAGTTATCCACACGTCAAGTATCCACATGTCTGAAGCAAATGCAGGTTGTGATTTTTGGGGAAATCCAATTGTGCAGGATAGAACTCTGGCGACAGAATTGTGAATCTGTTGACCTGGAGAGTGGAACTAAGGAGGCTGGTGAAGTGAGCTATGGAAAGATTTGTCCATGAGGTGATGAAAGAATCGATAAAGGTCTCAGCAGTGGCGTAAAACAAGGGTTTAAACTGGCAATGTTTCTTTCAGGATACTTTAAAGCACTAAATTTATATTTCTTTCAGTAATAATAATAGTCCTTGCATTTGATATAGAGCCTTATCTCGTCCTTTATAAGTCTCAAAGCGTTTCACAGAATATAATGTAAAGTGTAATGACTGTATACTTTGTGGGCAAAATGTGACAGCCAATTGTGCACAGCACATCAGTGTTCCAGAAACAGTTGTGGATTGAGTGACCACATTTTTTTTTGAGGGATTTTTACCCCCGGAAAGTGATCTGCCAATTGACTACGAACTGGGTTCCTAATTACTGCTAGGTAAACAGAGATTTGTGGAGTAAAGAAACTTGCCTAAGGTTTTGCCCTGCCTGCGAATCAAACCCGGGTCCTCTCGCTTGCAAGGCGAGAGCGCTAACCACTATTCTATGGGACTCTATACTATACAGTACTATATTGTTTGAGGTACTAGAAGTACACATGTTGCATTTTGTTTCTTCAGGGAGATTTACATTTTATAACGGTGACACTGGGCAGGATCTTAAAAAAATCATCTACCTATATATAATATATATATATCTAGGGTCAAAGTGGAACTCCAGAGGACATCTTCTTTTCCCATTCTGTGGTTCCTATTCCTTGAAGTCATTCAAGCGCTTGAGAATGATAGCTCTGTTGAGGATGTGCATGTAGCTGCCTTGACCTGTAGACCCAGGATTGGAACAGGACTGTCACAAAACATAACTGCTGAGGACTGAAAGAATCAATATTTAACTAGCCATCCAGAAAGCTTTCTGAAGATTATTAAGTGGATAAGCATTTGGCTTTTCTGATCTGACTTGTGCCTTTTGCCATTCTCCACCTCTGACCTTTGCCTCCTATAGTCTTTCATTTTCTTTTCCATTTTCGTATCTGTCTTTGGTTATAGATTGTTTTTTGCCTTATTACTTTGGAAGCATCTTAAAACGCTTTATAGGATTTACTGTGACATGGAGTTCAAGCCATTATTATGGGTATCTAACCAGTCAGTTGTGTGAAGTGCTTTGAAACGTCTTCCCCCCATAAAAGGTGCT